GCTGGCATAAGAAAATTGCTTTCAAGTGGATATGAAAAGTTTTCTTAAATAGTCCTGCTCATTTCTCCAGAAGTATGCTGTAAGCCATTCTCTTTGAATCAGAAGCTCACAGTAGCATTGCATCTTCTGTAAAAGTGACACTCCAAACAAAGCCTGAAGCTTCAAAGCACTGTTAAATGGTGAACATGTAATATCTTCATAGATGGCTATCTTCTATAATTACCCGGAGTGAATTAAAGAATGGGTGCTGTTCCTTTTAGTGGAATAGATTGTTCGAATAACTGTATCATTTGAAGAGTTTAGTTAAAATCTAACTCAAAGACTTTTTTTAAAAAAAAGCATTAGTCTGAAATGTAGATATGTAGAACTGAAAAAGTCAATTGCAAGCCTCTGAGACTAAGCCAAATCCAGAAAACCAATGTTAGTAGGTTTATGAATATAACTTCAATTTTGTACAATTACAAGCAGTATTAGGTCTCAAAGTAAATACTTCAGGATCCCTTCTATCATTTTCTTCCTGCCTGTAGATTTAGCTGGCTGTTAAGTATGTTAAGTATCTTGCTTGGGATTTCAGAAAAGACAAGACTAATATTAGTGTCGTAACACTATTAAAAGCAGATATTATAAATACTGTTACCTTCTGATGGTGTGCTGCACTTGAAGGTTAGCTTCCTTTTCAGGTACTTAAATATTGTTGAAAAACTGCAATTTTGTTCAGCTAATAGGAGTTCAAATTGTTTTGCTGGAAGTCTTGTGCAGAGTCATAAGGAAGCAGGAATTTTCTTGCAGTTGTTAAACTATGTCTTGCTCTTCTGTGAACGAAATTCAACTGCTGTGCAAGTCTGTCCCTCACTGGCATATCAACTGCTTCAGTGGAATTAGCTCCCCTGTGCGCCTTAATCAGATTTGTTCACTTTGCTCCTGAACATAAAGTTCAGTTCAAAAACAAAAGCAGAGGAGGAGGTTTTCTTCTTTGTTGGTTTTTTTTTTTTTTCTCCAATAAGTGACTAGGGAAAGTTTTGTAGCCACAGGCATGAGAAGTTCTCTGGGTTCTTCCAAATGAAACACTGATTGCAGTGTCACCTGTGATTTCAAGAGGACTGGATCTTCCAGGCACTGTTGTTGTTCTACCCAGGCTTATTCATTTCCAGTGAGATCCAGGATGAACTTATTTCTTCTAAAGTTAAAGAACAATTCTGACTCCCAAACACTTGTAATTTAATGCTGGTTGGATGAAGGAAAATCATATAACTAGAGTAACTTCTGTACAAGGCAATGAAGGCTTCACAAATCATGCTTTAAGAATCTGTTTGAAGCACAACAGTGGGAAGTATATGGAGTTATTAATATGTGAAATTGGAAAGCTAATTTGCTTCAAAACTGCTCCACTGATAAAATGCAGGCCAAATTCACAGCCAATCAAGAGTTAACATACAGAGATGTAGCTCTATGCTGACATGCAGTAAATTGCTGACACACTTAAAAAGGAAAATCTACCTAAGGAGTTTCTTAATTCAAGAATATTTTATGTTGTTTCTGATTCTGCCACCCCAGATATAAAATCTTTTCAGAACGCTTGATATCAACAGAATTAGAGCAGAGTGAAAAAGAAATTCTTAGAAGTGCCTTCTGATCTTTACATAACTTTTGGCTGTTGGTTTTTTTTTTTTTTTTTTTTTTAATTTTTATACTATTTTATACAAATTTAGGCTCAGCTTAAGATTCTTGTGCAGATTTCAGCTGTACAGAAAATGCATAGGATCTGCATTTCTTACAAATACATATGGAATGTTCTGTTGTCTTGGACATATTAAATGAGTAACAAAAGTAGTTTTCCTACAATTTACAACCTGTTCTCTCTGTGCTTTGTCTTAGACCCGCTTATGTAACAGCTTACTTCTCATTTTTCTGGCTATCTGGGAATTAGACAGTCTAACAGTAACAGCCATCCTATATCTACAACCAGTTTGAAGACAAAACCTCAAGATTAGGTGTTGCTCAGGTTATACTAGGTAGGCTACAAAGAAAATGCAGTTAGTTTCTGGTCACAGTATGTGAAAATATTACTAACAAAACTTGGATCTGAGTTCCAATGTCAATATCTGCTGAAATACTTCCATGTCAAAATGAGCTATGTGGGATAAAACCTGCCAAATATTTGCTGTGTAAGTGCTGACTCTTTATTTTAACAAGATGGATAGAAAAAAAAAAAAAAAAATCATACTGGGCAGTAATCTACATGCAGGTGTCTCAGTAGGTAACAATCTATTTTTTCATAGCACTGGTGTTTCTGAAATGCAAGGCTATTACTACTCCATCTTTTAGATTAAGAGCAACTGTGTGGGGCAGAAAGGACAGTGAATGACATTTTTTCTGGCAGGATGTGTTGAGAGCTCATCTACTTTCCAAACCAGGTAGCTGCTCCATATTCTGCAGATTAAAAGCCACTCCAGGCTTGGAGATGGGGCTGTGAAGGGTGGAGATGGCAAGGGGCAGATAGTTGGTGGGTTACTGGAGGACAGTTTATTCAGCCCTTGATGTACAGCCAAGAGGAATGGGATGAAAGATGTGTTTGCAGAAGTGATTTTGTATCTTGAGTCTTTTCTTAAATGTTAGGATTTTATGTAAAGAAGCGAGAATTTTGTGTCCAACACAGACTGTATAGGGCGGCAGGAAAGGTATTCAGACCACAGCTGCTGCTACCTGCTATGCCTTGAGATAGGGAGAGACAGGGTGAGACAGGGTGAGTGGGAATCTGGAGGGCTGGAATGAGGATGGGTATGGCCCCTTGTTCAAATTCCTTGCCTCTGGCCTTTCTCACAACTATATAGGATCAGGCAGTGAAGAAAAACTCAGGTCTTTGTTGCAAAGCAAAGTGTCAGTAGCATGTGATTGAAAGCTGGACAGAAAGGGCTCTGGCTCCTGAGATCCACAGCCTACATTTTATCCTTCTCTCTCCTCTGAGCCTGGGGATGCTGCAAGATAAGGCTGCTGCCAGCTGGGTCCTGAGACTTGTGTAGGTGAGGGTCCAAGTTATCCTCTTTCCTGCAGGTAAAGCCACACTATTCCCACTCTGGTGTGGTAGAAGACACCAGTATGTGTTGGCTGGCACCATACAGATCCTGCTAAAACTGTAAGCCTGTCCTCCCCAAACCATGCTCTCACATTTGTCTTATTCCTAACTACCACAGACTCCACAAAATGAGTGGTCTTTCTTGAAGGACTTCATACTGGATCTCAATTAAATATTTTACAATTGGATTATGATATGAATCAGTCTGGAATGTTCCATCCTCTTTACAGTGATAAATGTATAGTGCTTTCTTCAATGACTACTTTGTCATGTTTAGAAGTTATATGTATGTTTATTGCACGTTTTACTAAAACTTGCATTTGAAGACCACAGTCTGAACATGGAGGCTTTGTGTATATATAGAGTGGACTCGGGAGATGCAGTGACTTCTTAACATGATGGAGGGTACTTAGCTCTCTTATCTATTTCTTTAGCAGGGAGGAGGGTGGAAAATAGAGTTTTGAAGGAACTGCATTTTATATATATTTCATGTGTTGCAGACATAAAGTCTGTCTATATCATGATTTTCTTTCCTAAGCGTTTTATCATTTTAACATTCACCAACTCACTTTTTCTCATTTATTTTCTTTGTTTAGTTCTGTAGAGACTTTCAGATTTATTGCTTCCCTTCTTACATCTTTATCTGTAACCCTAAGTTCTTCTGAATACTTACACTATTGTCCATATCTCCTACATCTTAAAATATGTGTTTTTCTTATTGTGTTTTGATAGACGCAATAGAAAAGATCTTCTATTTGTGCATAAATGGACTTTCTCTTTTCCTCTCTTCTTGTTCTAGCCATGCCTTGGCTCCCCAGTTTCATGTCTGTATTTTACTAAATCGTTTGTCTCTGGCATAGCTGAATAACTCTGTGGAATTACTGTGAGGTTAATTCACCATATGCTCCAGACTGCTTCGGGATACTTTGAGATGAAAACTATTCTGCCTTACAGCTTTCTAAGTGTTGTATTATTTTGACAGGGACAATTCAAAAATTTCTCACTAGGATTTTGTAAATTGCAATCTGTTTTGTAGCATTCTTCCAAATTGGCTGGCTGATCCCTTTCCAGATGACTGAATTCCTTGGAGATCTTTCAATTTTCTGTCTGGTATTTTATTTTTTTAATTCTTCGTTGTGTCATGTTTAGAAAATTAATGCTATACCAGAGTTCTTTTTCTTTCTCTGAAGCCTATTCTTTTATCAAAATAAACTGATATATGGAATTTTAATGAAGAGCTGGCAAAGTCAGCAGTTCCCTTTGCTGATCCAGACCTGGCTTTGGGATTTCAAAATTGAAAGCCTATAATCTGTGCTGCCACAACATCTCCATGTTGGGAAAAACCACTGAAAATAGCTTTTAAACCAAAACAGCTTTGCTTGGACTCATGCTCCAAAAGTTATTTTTGACATTTGAAAAATACTAATGGAAAGATTTTAAGGACACCTTATGTTGAAGAACAAAGTAATGAGTGAACATTGCCAGCAAAGGACAAGTTCATATTTTCTGCTTTATTACAGACTTCCATGTAAGTGTGAAGTTTTAAAATAATTATTCATTTATTTGTGATTTAAACAACATAATTTTAAAGTAGTACACATTTTAAATTGAAATTACTGCATTAACTCATCTCTAGGGGTACACAAGGCTTGCTGCAGAAGATTTACATCGAAGTTTTCCTGAAATGTTGACAGTTAATTTCCATGCAATAGTCTAAAAATATCAGTAGAATTCACTTAATCAATAATGTTTCTAGAGGCTTAGTTGACAAAGACTTGTCTGGATACTTTGCTCATATGCATTCTTTTACAGCCCTCTGAAAATCATTGGCAGTGCAAGTGTAGTATTATTTTGTGTTAGTATTTTTAACTCTGCAAACTGATGTTGCATTGGGCGTGCTTCAATAATATTTGGCTTCATTTAATTTCTACCAGTTCCAGTTATGCCTGGCACAGCAAAACATCTTCTTAAATGTGCTTCGTAATTCTGGACTTCGGAATGCAAAAATCATAGGATCGATGATCGCATTGCACATTATGAGGGTCCCATTCACATGGAAAATGGACATGTAGCAGGCACAGTAAGGGTTGTGTGGGCAAAATCTTGCTAAAAGGATGTGAAGAACAAAGGGGGCCCAACAGCAAAGGAAGACTCCAAGGAAAATAGTCAGTGTAATGGCTCCTTTCATGTTCGTTCTCTGATGGACTGCGCTGGTTGGCAGCGAGGCAATCTTTTTAGCATGAGATCGGGCTAGGAGGAACATATGGATATAGAGGCACAGTATAAAAAACATCATTAAAGGGAACAGGATGGTGAAGGGAATGACTGTAGCGATTTCATGGGAGAAGAGGGCAATGACAATGCTACTGCAAGCACAGAATGTCCAAATGATTGCCAAGATGACCAAAGCCCTTCGTACTGTCATTATATTATGGTACCGCAAAGCATAGAAGATAGTGATGTATCTGTCTGCTGCAATAGCTAGCAAGCTGAAAATGGACCCCAGTAACGACAGAATGAACATGGAGTCCATGGCATCATCCAGCTTTTTCTCAAAGTCCCCACGACGTGTCAGGTACCCCATTTTGCACAAGATAATAAAGATGTTCTCCAGAGTTTTGTACAAGCTGCCTAACATGTCTGAAATGGCTAAGCTACAAATGAAGAAGTACATGGGCAAGTGCAAATTCTTATTTCTGATGACAGCGACAAGGACAAGTAGATTTTCTAGTATGCCAGCAGCAGCAACAGTGAAAAAGACTTCTTCTGGCACCACGACCTGGTTGCAGTCAGTGATATTTAAGGAAAAATCTGTTATATTTTTGAGAGATGGAATGCTTGTCTGCCCTGCATGTTTGATTAGGTTGGAAGGTATCTCAGTGCTCATTGCTTCTGCTCTTGGAAAGCCTCGGTATTGCTGTTTCTTAGGCTTGGCTTTACGTTGAAGCTGACCTGTCAGTCAGACCATCCTTTTGCTGAAGGCATTCTACCTCATCTGGATCAATCTGAAGTCTTGACTGAAATGTTTTGAATTTCTCCTGCAATAGAACATACAGAAAAATAAGTATCAAGAAAATTGCCACATGCCAAAAAAAAAAAAAAAAAAAAAAAGCAAACATTTGAAATACCACCTTTCGCAATTGAATGAATATATATCACTGGAGTGAAGTTTAGTTGCTTTGGATAAAATAAGAGCTGCTCCAAGCTCCATGGTGCCTCAGAGGAAAGTAAGGTGTAAATTCTTAGTTAGCTGCAGGGAAGTTTAAAAAAAAAAATATATAGCTTTCTTTATTGATGAACATCCCATGTTTACTGAAACAGATTTCACAGACTTCAAGAATTTGGCAGTCTCTACTGGCCCAGCTGTTTGCTTTGGGAAAGTCTGGCATTTCTTACAAGATTTATAGCATTATTAGACATGGATGAAACCAATGCCAAGATAAGCTGTTGTCCAGAACAGTAGCATATTTACCACCACTCTGTTGATGTTGAAATAAAAAAAATGCTCTTAATTTAGACGTGAACATTATAAATATTGATATTTTTTTTTCCAGTTATGCTAGATACTTGTGCCAAACTGTCTTTTCAGGCAAATTGAAACATTCCCTTGATTTGAATATATTTTAAGATCTAAAGCAATATCTTTTTTTGGCTGTATTTTACATCTATCTAAAAGATCAAATGTTTTGTTTCTGCACTGAAATATTTTTTCTTTCTCTGTAATTATCCTGGTCTAAATTACATGAAAGCCTATAGGAATCTTTCCAAAGGATTATTCTTTTTAAGCTATTCATTAAGGTGTAAATGCATGTGATATTAGTTTGGCTCAAATGTTACCCATAGAGAATAACGGACATTTTTTCTTGTAATTTTAATAGCTCCATTTGTGAAGCAAAAATGCAGTTGCTATTTGGAATGTTCCCCTTTTTAAGAACTGAAGTATTCTCCTATTTTTAAGTTCAAAACAGCCTTTAGTTCTCTAGCACTTTCATACCAATATGCCTTGAAATGCATTTGGGCATTTGGTCCTAGTCAGGTTTGCTAAATGCCATGATGCTCTTTAGTACTGTTTCAAAAGAAGAATTCAGAAGTTTTAATTACATCTTATACAAGCCCTCCTTAAGTGTTGGTGGCTGCCTGTAAATGGCAAAGCTGAACCTCAGCTTGAATGTGATCAGCTCTAATGCATTTTGAGCATTCAGTTCAAATGTGTTTGGCCATATATCAAGAGATAACAGGTTTCTGATCTGGGTTTGCTATTATCATCTGCTGAGATTGCCAGTAAGGTTCTACTTGTTGTGAAATATGCTGAAAACTGGACCAATCAGAGAACATGAACTTAATTGAAAGAAGCTATCAGCTCCCTTAAAAGAAAGCATTCAAGACAGCTCCCATACTTATCAGGAAAAAAAAAAAGGCCCTGTAATGGAATGAAAGAACTGAATTGCACTGCAGCGCATCTGGATAATCAGATTAACATCTGTTGGCATATGCAAGACATGCACCAATGCCTCTGTAGCGGTGTGTTTTTCCTATTCTCACAGCTACTCTCCAGGTTAAGTTTATGATTTCTCATCTAGTGATCTGTTTCATAACCTAATTTTCACTCAGTAGAAAGTCAACATGGACACTCCAAACAAAACCTTGTTTAAATGGGATTTAAACATGATGAGTTGGAAAACAAAAAAGCCTTTGTTACATCCCTGTTCCTTCTCAACTCTTTTTCAGTACTTTTGCTTTGCTGGTACACTCATACTTCTGAACTTATTCCCTTTATAAACACGACGGCTCTATTGCTGAAAGCAGCACTGTGAATGGCATGACATTACATTTACTGCTTTTACAGAATATAAACGTTCTTAAATTTACAGTAACTGTGTTAAATGTAATCTTGTAGGGCTGAGATCTTGTAAAGAATTCTCAGCAGTTATAGAAATGAATTGTTATGCTATATCACTTAATGTTGTTTCCAGACAATTAAGAGCCAAAGACATTTTTATTTCAGAGATTCCCATTTCAATATGTATATATTGCTACTGAAGACTATTAGGATTCTATGAAAGATGTTCCCAATTAATGCTGTTCTGATGCTTCAGTGCAGTCACACCATTGTCTGAGACTTCCCAGACAGAAGTTTCTATGTACATATCCTGTTGTAGACAGGTTGTAAATCCACTGCTTCACCTACACAATGCATATTTTGATCATACTTCTGCTGTAATCCCACAGTTACAGGATTCTTTTGCAGCTACAGAATGACCAGGGAGCGTACACAAAGTAGTTCAATGCTTAAGTACAGCACAGGATAGACAGGCTGCATACAGAGTATAAGGCTCTTGTGATCATGATCAGTAACCTCTGTGCATCCTTAAAGTTAATAGTTTCCACAGAAGGAAGACACGAGAATACCTTAGTACTCCGCGTCGTATTTCCACTGACTACCCACTGAAATTAAAGCCAAGGCCATTTTGCACAAAGCTATAAATGGCCATCAGCTGAAAAACATTTACCCTTGTGTTAGTTGCACTACCAGACACAGCCTGGATGCGACACCTCCTCTCCACTGCCAATAGGGTGTTCATCTCCTTCATCATTGTACTATCCCAATAAAAGATCAATATCATTAACCAGTACCAGTCTCCAATTGATCTCAGATTTATCTTTTGCACATGCCTGCAAAAAAACAACTTTTAACAACCAGTGCTCATGTGTCAGGATTGTTAAGAACAGGACACAGCAATTTAGGAATAAAAATGTGCATTATACTTCAACCTCCCCCCCCTCACCCCCCTCCATCAGTGGCTGAACTACTTGGCTTTTCACTTACTTGTGGTTACGCACAGTCTAATAAAAACTTTGCCTGTAGCAGAAAGCACTGAAGAGAAATAAGCAATGAATAACACCACTGCCACCAAACACCAAAAAACTTTGAAACACATTTTCAAATTTAATGGTAAGTATCGCAAATCCAGCAAAAAAATCTCAGGCTTTTTCTTCACACATTTAAATTAGGTCCTGGAGGGAGAAGTCAACAACTCAGTCAGTTTGGATATTCTGAAACATTATTTATATAAAAAGAGGCAGTCTCCTGATCTGGCAAAATGGGAAATGAGCTGGCAATAATAGTGAAGTTGTTAAAATGCATACATTTATAATAGTATCAGCAATTTCCATTTAGGCTGTAGTTTTTTTTAAAGCAAGACAAAGCAGGGAGAACTGCAAGCCAGGACTGGGAAGTACACAATGGTGTAGAAACATAGGAAACACGTTTGTAGTTTGGATTACCTATCAATTATATTCATTCACTGTGATTATGGTTTGTTTCTTTACAGCACTCGGACACTGACAAAGTATGCTGGCACCATGCATATTGCACAGCTAAGGCGCAACACCAGTATTTCTGCCTGTAGCCATACTGAGAAAGCCCCAGTGGATGTTGAGGGGTCTCTACACTGAACAGGATGAACCTTGGACAAAATGAATAATTCTTTCCTGCATGCCCAGTGCATATTGATAACAAAAAAAAAAAAAAAAAAAAAAAAAAAAAAAAAAAATCAATTTTCTATGCATTAGAAATACAGTGACTTAGTACCTGCAAGGTTTGGGAGTAGTCAGGTCTGCTTATCTTAATTGGATAAGCAGTTATTAAATAAAGCCCTTCCTTCAGTTTCAAAACATTAAATCAATTGGCATAGTTAGCGGTAATAGCAACAAGATTCTTCTTGTACACCTTGGTCAGACTGGAACAACAAACCCCTGTGGAGGTGGTTGGTTGAAGAGCGTGACTGATTATGTTGCCTGATGCAGCTGAGAACAACCTTTTTCTGAAAAATGACAGCACAGGTCACACACATGTACATGGATGAGAGCTTTATACAACTCTCAGCAACTGCCATTTGAGTGAACATGATTTTGTATCCAAATCCATTCAAAAAGAAAATTTTTTCTTTTTTTTTTTCAGCTTCTCCAGATGTACAAGGCATTTATGAAGGAAACATGTCACTTAAAAACATTGAGTTAGTTTATAAAGTTGTAAAACAAATAAAAGGACAATTTCTCCTCTTCGTTAAGTCAACACTGGCTTTCATGGTGATGAAAAGAACTAGACCTGTTATCAGAAAGTGATCTATGAGGACAAGACATTCCCTGCATGTTCTGGTGGGCACTTATTTTGCATACCAGGTGGGCTTTGCTCAAGCAAGAGGTGAAGAAGAGCACATAGATCCCAAAATCTGTCTTTAGTTTTAACTACATAGTTCTTAAAAATGTTAAGTTACTGCACCAGATGAATTTACACAGCATTGCCACTCCCCTGAGTACCTGGTCTCAGAGATGTGGTCCCTCGGCTGAAAGTCACCTGTCTCTCCTAGATGTGACACTAAACAAGAAGCTTTGTAGGTGGATGCATAGTCTTGCTATTAATATTACATGAATATTATTGTTTTCTGTGTGCAGGAGAGCTGCCTGGTACTCTTAAGAGAAGTTATGGTATAAGTCTTGAACCACTGTAGCAGCTTGCTGTGCTGAGAGGCAGAGTTCTACCTCTCCCTTTCCACCTACGCTTCTCCTTCCTCTCATTTCTGTCACATCCTCTGAGCCTGTAGACACCCTATTTTCCACCCTAAAAATAAAAACAATACACAGTTGATGCTTGTGCAAATGCATTACCTTGTCTGGCAGGCGGTGCAGTATTACTATGGCACTCAGCAACAGTTTATACAGGACAACCTAACCCACTGTGAACTCTTCACTGCAATAACAAGTGCCAACACAGTCCTGTCTCCACCCAGCTCAGGCATCCCTAAGAACATAGCAGTCTGTACAAACTGCAGTATGAATAATTCCTTAGTTTTGAAACTTGGATGCCAATGTTCCTTCTCTGCTAGA